AAAACTGGAATTAAAGGTGTTGAAACTGACTTCTTTTAGCGTCCCTTTAAAATCTCGCAGTTTGTTCGGAACAGCTTTAGCAGCAAGTTAATTTTTGTTTTTAGTAATATTATCAATTTAACAATATTCATAACTTACAATTTTGCAGTTTTTCCTCCGACTAATTTTTCTTTTGTGTATACCAGTTTTGGGTTAGGTGTTTTTAATGTAGGGACATCATTGTATGTTATACTTGAAGTAATATTATAATTCATCAGGTAATTATTTATTAACTTACAGTTTATCGAACTGAACACTAATGGTATAAATTTTTATCTTTCGCTTGAATATAAACTATCTTTAATCAAATAAACTGCTTGCAGAATATTTGATATTTTGGAATCCATGTTGGAATGCAAGAAGGCGGACCAAAATCCACTATGGCGGCAGATGTGAATTTTCCACTTCTACTCATCGAGCCCATTACGTAGATACCCATATTGCAAGGGTTTAGATGGATATCCGCTGTTCGAAGGCCATCATATTGGATTGTGGTCCACCATCTTGGATTCCAATGCCGATGTCGATTTTCCACTTCTAATCATCGAGCCCATTCCATCGATACCCATATTGTATGGGTTTAGATGCATATGCACTGACCGGAGGCCGCCATCTTGGATTCCAAAATGGCGGCGGATGTCAATTTTCCACTTCCACTTATCGAGCCCATTCCGTAGATACTCATATTGCAAGGGTTTACATTCATATACGCTGTCCGGTGGCTGCCATATTGGGTTTTGGTCCACCATCTTGGATTCCAAAATAGAAATTTTCCACTTCTACTCATCGAGCCCATTCCATAGATATCCATATTGCAAGGGTTTAGATGCATATACACTGTCCGGATGCTGCCATATTGGATTTTGGTCCTTCATATTGGATTCCAAAATGGCGGCAGATGTCGATTTTCAACTCTTACTCATCGAGCCCATTCCATAGATGCCCATATTGCATGGGTTTTATATCCATATACTCTGTTCGGTGGCTGCCATATTGGATTTTGATCCTTCATATTGGATTCCAAAATAGTGGCAGATGTTGAACTTCTACTCATCGAGCCCATTCCATAGATACCGATATTGCATGGGTTTAGATGCATATACGCTGTCCGGTGGCTTACATATTGGATGTTGGTCCACCATCTTGGATTCAAAAATGGTGGCAGATGTCAATTTTTCACTTCTACTCATCGAGCCCATTCCGTAGATACCCATATTGCAAGGGTTTAGATGCAAATACACTGACCGGAGGCCGCCATATTGGATTTTGGTCCCTCATCTTGGATTCCAAAATGGCGGCGGATGTCAATTTCCAGTTCCACTTATCGAGCCCATTCCGTAGATACCCTTATTGCATGGATTTAGATGCATATACACTGACCGGAGGCTGCCATATTGGATTTTGGTCCGCCATCTTGGATTCCAAAATGGCGGTGGGTGTCAATTTTCAACTTCCACTTATCGAGCCCATTCCATAGATACCCATATTGCATGGGTTTGAATGCATATAAACTGACCGAAGGCCGCCATATTGAATTTTGGTCTACCATATTGGATTCCAAAATGGCGGCAGATGGCAATTTTCCACTTCTACTCATCGAGCCCATTCCGTAGATACCCATATTGCATGGGTTTAGATGCATATCCGCTGCTTAGAGGCCGCCATATTGGATTTTAATCCGCGTATTCCAAAATTGCGGCCGATGTCGATTTTCGGGGGGGGGGGGGGGGTCCAATTCCCCCACCCGTTAACCATTGTGTCCGGCTTCCGGTTGACCATCATCTACGACGTCGAGTAATGCCAGCTTTACCACTGGTCGCCGTATTGTTCCGTTCACCATCCGCACCAACGCTTGCCAGACCCGTCCATCCTTTCCTTGAATGACCTTGTCCACTTTTCCTCTGATCTACTGATTTCGTGCCGTATCGTCTACGATCAGCACCAGATCTCCTTCCACTATCTCCTTCACACCCTCGAACCACTTCAACCTTCTCGAAATCACCGGCAAGTACTCCTTGATCCAACGCTTCCATATTTCGTCCGTCAAGTGATGGGTAAGCTTCCATCCCCTGTTCAATGTTACACGATAATCCATGAGCACCGTCGGAAGTTGTTTCACTCCACTTGAGCTCCCCAGCAGAAAATGGTTAGGGGGCAAGGCTTCCTGATCAGCTGACTCGGAATGTACGGAATGTACGTCAGCGGTCTCGTGTTGATCATCGCTTGAGCTTCAATAATCACCACGCAATAAGCTAATATGCGCTAAACAATAAGCTTGAAATGCGTATAAGAAGAAGAAGAGAAGCTGTAATTACACAGAGAACCAATAGACGATGCTTGGGACTATCAATCATTACCAATGTGTGAAACTGGTGATCTCAAACTAGGCAATAATAGCGCCGGCCGCGCCCGAACACAGGTCAAGAAAGGAAGGGGTAGGAATGTGTTGACGTGACACTCGCTTTGATGGAAGCCGAGAACACCTTTGCACTTCCACGAGGAATCACTGGGATATTGGGTAATAGGGTTGGGTTTGCAGGGTAAACGATAAGCTGAATTGATGTCCTAACGATCATATAACGCGAAGGAGCTTGGGATTGAACCCACGGTCTTCTGCTCAGTAAGCAAAAACGTTTTCCACTTTTTAATCATCGAGTTGCTGTTATTACCATGTAGTCATGTTAACAGATAAAAATTGAATCTTGAATGTGGATGGGCTTGAGATTAGATTCATGATGTTCTGCTCAGTAAGCAAAAACGGTTGCTCTAAGGCCACCGAGCCCCTCATATCACATTATAACGTTACTCAAGTAGTTATAACTATTCAAACCCGGCACCGACGACAACGAAAAGTTTTATAAAATACACGATAAACAAGCGATCTTACCATACATTTTTAATACGAAAGGACCGCGTTTTTCTGCTCAATAAGCAAGCCACTGCAACCGACGATCTTTCAAATCCTAAAACTAAAAGCTACGAAAGAGTACTTAGACCTTCATTAAGTTCCACTGTCACGCGAAAAATTATTTTGATTTGATCTTTACGCATGGTTCATGCAATCGTAACAAGCTGTGACCGACGTTAATACGCCCTGGTTAAACAAGCTATTCAAATGAAATTACATTCTCGAATTTCACTTGGTATGTAATGAACAACAGAAATACGCGATAATTCATATAGATTCAGCGGTTGATGGTTAAATTCAAATATACTAATGGTACTGCCTACGGCGACTACGACGGCGATTACGACAGCGACTACGACAACAACATTGTCAAGTCAAAAAGTCAATGCATTGCACAGGTTTGGTAAAAATTGAGCATTTTTTGAATTATTAACAAGCAAATGAATAGTTTTGTTCCATTTCCCATACAAACTTTAAAATTCTTCCTCAAATCCAGATCATAACCAAATTTGTTCAACTCTGGCATAGTGTTTGGGGACCTCAATACAGATCGAAAGAGCAGTGGGGGAGCTTGAACATGTATTTTAATCCATTGTATACAATAAGCGTTGAACTCAAATCTTATCAACCGTTTGTCAATTTGACACCCCTCGTCGCCGTGGTGGTGTCAACCGGCAGCAGAGATACATATTTTATCACCACGGGACAAACCTTTTCCTTTTCTCGACAGCTCTATTAACATTACGCGCTCCATTAGGTTACCATATTTACAATATTGCTTGTATCGATCAAACGTGCCGTACATCGTTGCAACACCGATGAGGGGCGAACCCAGCTACAGGCGCCGCAACGGGAGCAATAAAATTAATCGAATTTGGTTTATAAATGCAACAAATTAGTTACAATCCTAGCGCGTTGTCGTCGTCGTTTGCAATCGCGATGAAATTCGAGTCCAACTGCATCCGTATTGCGACGGTACAGATGGCAGTTGGGCATCGAAGCTGGTGGGTAGGGTGATGAGGGATGGTCGCTGTTGAGGGTCGGACGAACCAATCTGCACCCGAGACTGGAACAATAAATTATTCAAAGTGTCGATACAATTAGTGGCAATAAATCTTGTAAGGGTTTCACCACGGCGGCATTTTTCGCTCCTTTACCGTGTGTTTACATGCAAGCTCGCAGAGTTCGGCAGGTTCGAATATGATCTCTTGCACGCTCGTACGACAATGCGGTGCGTGAGTGTATGTGTGTGATTGAGAGCGGTATCGAAAGGTATCTCTCTTCGATAGCTGTTTGAATAATTCATTATGGAAGTAATCAATCACTCGACAGGGGTTTTCCTTGCAAGGAAAAGGTGTACATACAGTAACTCTGGGATCGATTTGGAGTTTCAATAATTCGTATTCAATTCGCAAAAGTCGAACCAAATTCTTCAAAAAAGTTCACATCCTATCAGCGTTTCTTTGACCATGGAATGTCCTCATATCAATTCACATATGTTGACTCCGGGGTAGAATAATTTCCCTCATCTAATCGCATTTGTCGGCTGGCGATCAATCATCTTTCAGCTCCCCGACTACCCACCCGTCAAGGTAGTAGCAGCAGTCGGCAAATATTGACCAACAATTAAAACTGTTTAATAATCAATAATCCACGCCCGCACCCCGCGCCCGCTTCCTTCAGAGCTTGTACCGAACGCGCGGCAAAGCAAACGAATTTGTCGTTGTGGGCTCTACGTGGGTATATTGGTTAATTATTCGGTTCAGCTACTAGGTGGTATTCGGTAGTTGGTCGCAATACACCGGCCCTGCGTGCCGATCGGGATATATGCAGTCAACCTACCTGTCATCGCAGATTAGCGTGTACCAATACGTGAAGACTGCAACGGCTGGTTGGTGCGACTGGAGAACGCACACCGCGTGCAACCGCAAGATGTACAGATCGATAATAACAAGTGTCAATTGCATGATAGACAGACAGGAAGTGTTGTTATAACGTGAAGTATGTGTAGACATATGCTGTGAAAGTAGATATTTGCCGATAGGGTACTCACTTGTGGCCGAGCTCGTGGGAAATCGTATGCGCCAGGGTGATCCCGTTGTCCTCGTTGACGCTGCATGACTTGTCCGGACGACACATGCCGCCCACGTTGGCGACGCCCAGAGTGCTGGAAAAACAGACAAGATTTATTAGGTTGTCGTCGTCGTCGATCACTGCCGGCTGGGAACTACTATAGCACATCCTGTTGTGTGTTTTTCTTGGTTTAATATGGTTGAGTTGTTGGAGGAATATGGTGGACTAAAGTGGCCTATAGAATATGTATGCCAAAATAAACAAATACCATAAACGAACGATAACCTAGATGGTAGAACTATTCCACAAATAGTTTGAATGGTACCTGATGGTTAGGCTGATGCAAAAATTATGTTCATTTTATGTCAAACTTCACTCAAATAGGTCGACAGCGACGAACAAACTTTTTTGTCTAAACAACTTATTTAAGATAACAAATAATTTTTATATTTTATCATTATTGTTATTAGTAATTCAGCTTTTAGTTGTTTCAAAAACCTGTTATAGTCCGGCGATAAATTCGACGATTGCCTTGTTTTAAAAATAAATTTAAAGCAGTTCTCAATCCCTCCATAAAATTGTTCTGTAATTCAATCATAAACTTCATCGGCAATTGTTTATTAATGTCTTGATCAAATACTCTATAAAAGTGTTCTATCATTATAAAATCAACCATAAAATCATTAGGGTTTAAATGAGTGCAAAAGGCATATTTTAATGCTGTTTAGTCTGTTTAAAGTGTATCATAAAATCCACAATTACTCTGTTTACAAATTGAATTAAAAGATATGGATCATCATAGTGAATAAAACCAAAATTTATGACAAGGAAATCTCGAAGGATAGACGAAGTAGGATGAAAAATTCTAGCGATTCTAACGATCGAAGGGATGTCGATTTCAGCAAAATTTACTTCTTTAGAATAACCAACACGTCCGGCTGAACCGGTACACATAGGTGACGATCGGAATTACTTGGATCAGTACCGGCAGCAAACCACCAAACTGCCAGGTAGCAGAGATAAGCTGATTTTCGATCCATGGCAGCGATTTTAGCCGGCGAAAAGGTCAGCTCATCAAAAATTTCATTAAAGCGTACATGCCTGCGTCGTTTGATGGTATCTGAAATAATGATAACAAAATTGTGTAGTTTTAGGATAAAGCGCAGAGCTAATTGTTTTGGCCCCTTCAATATTTTCTATGAGTTTTGGAAATTATTACAGTTTTGTATAAAAGGTATGCCTATTTTGTAATACTTCATCGCATGACCAGATTCTGTAATGTGGTCGTCGGAAAGTTTGTTTCAATAATTTTCATTTACTCATTCAGGCTCCTGTGGATTGGCATGTGTGAGCTATTTGAAAATTGTATGTTTTCATCATTTAGGAGCAAATTTGCTTAATTTTGGTTGGTAGATTGGTTTAAAAAAATAATTTTAAAGGAAGTGACGAATCAGCCACTGGCTGGAACTCCCTTTAAGAAAAAAGTTAAGGGTTGTGTCCAAAGTTCGACCGCATTGTTGACGTAGGACTACGAGATAGGGGAAAAGTTGGTTTCGGCAATACTTTAACCTATTATCGTCAGGGGGGTAAACAACGTCCTTGAGAGCTCAATTTTGTCATGTGGATACATTGTGTTTCAGAGCAACTATTGGCCAAATTTGAGTGCTCAAGGACTTTGTTTACCCCCCTGACGATGATAGGTTAAGGTATTGCCGAAGACAACTTTTCCCCTAATTAATTAATAATTTAATAATTTAAAACAAAATAAACAAAATAAATGATTTAGAAATTGAGCATGAGCATTAGGATGGGTCATCATGATCATTTTTTTTTCAGAACAATGTTTTTTTGGTTCGATTTAGGGTCTTAAGCAACCCAAGCAACATTGCAAGTTTTATCAGGGTTTCAAAGCATTCTATAAGTCTAAATCATGGTCTACAGAACCCTAATAAAACCAGAAATGTTACTTGGGAAATGTACACAATTTGGGGACGATTGGTTGTAGTGCGCCTTTTTGCATTGCGTTTTAAATTTGTATGGAAAGTAGTATGGGAAAACCTACTTTTTTGCATCTTTATTACTTAAGACCACAATTTTGCGCAAATCATGCATCTAAATACGTTAAAGTATAGCCCAGTGCCTAACAACTTTGCTGAAAGATGTGTGGTGCTAGAATGCCCCTAAAAAAAGTTATAGCTGTTCAAAGATCAATGTTTCAAAGTAAATGCCAAAAATCCCTTTTTTCTGCCAACACTGCCGGTGTACCAATGAAAGTCAGACTCCAAACTGAAATAACTTCGGAGTTTGAAGTAAAGCTTCAAACTGCAATAACTTCGGTGTTTCTGATCTTGTCAAGTTTGGTATGATAAGATGTATTAAAAAATATGTGCTCCATTTAATATGCGTAGTTATACATGGGGGGCTTACTGTATGCTTTTCGGTCCTTACTTATATCAATGTAAGTAAAGATAAATCCTAAAATAACTTCGGAGTTTCCCATCTCTCGAGTTGTTCGGATGGGTTATTCAAAGCACATTTGCTCAATCTCATAAAAGCAGTTGTAAAGCGAGGGGGTACTTGCCTTCCCTACTCTTTTGGTGCAATATACAATGTCAGATGCATTCACACAAATGTCATTGGATTGTAATGATTATATTTTATTTTAATATATTCTACGATTTCTCAGGGTACTCTTTTCGATGCTGTTCTATCCCCTGAAGCAAATATTGCTGTTTAACAAGGTCTCGGGTGGATCTCTTGATAACCCAAGTAGAGCAATTCTGTCTCAAAAAGTTACAGCAACTTGTTTATAACTGAAATAAGTCGTAAAGAAGTTTCCAAGACCAATTTATAACAAGGGTGCTACTAGGGAAGTCAAAAATTAGCTTCACCCCTCTTTCAGCCATATTGTTGACGACCATCAAGGAAGCAACTCGTTGTATCGCATTGACATAATCTGTATCATTACTCCACTCGTTTGCCGGTTTTTGCATGAAGCCGGTCGAAATTTGGAAAAGGAATCAGTACTGTTAGAAATGACGTTTGACTTGGGAACCTAACTGAAACGTAGCCCACTTAAAGTTAGCTCAACAAGTGAAATCCAAATGAACCTGTGTCTGAAACGAAGCTGGTGAAGACAGTTTACGGTTTCTCCTGTTTTTTGGTTTTTGAGTACGACTACTTCTGTGTTTTCTATATGTGGGTGGCCCGAATGGCAGTTTAATATTTCAAACAAAAGCTATGTATAGAAATAATACAGCAGTTGGACTTATAATTCAAACAACATCTCCTCACTAACAAATGAACGGACAAGTGGATATTAAATATTTACACTACAACAATTTCGTTTTAAAAACTGCGTAAGCCCCCACATCCGCTCTCTTACTACGCTTATGGGATTGAGCAATTGTTTTTGAATAATTCATCTGAACATACCAAATCGGCAAGATAAGAAACTCCGGAATTTTTTTTCAATTTGGAATCTGAATCCCATTGGTACATCACACTGCGTTGGCAGAAAAAGGGATTTTTGGTGTTTAATTCAAACTATAAATATTTGAATAGTTATGACTTTTTTTAGATACATTCTAGCACCGTACTTTCTTTAGCAAAGTTGTTAAGCACTTCCTGTACTATATTTGTACATACTTGCATGGTTCATGAAAAATTGTGGTCTCTAGTAATAAAAATGTAAAAAAGTTGGTTTTCCCATAATAATTTCCATACAAATTTCAAACGCAATGCGGAAAGCCGAGTTACAACCAATCGTCCCTAAATTTTGCACAGTTGTTTGGAACTCCAAATTGAATCAAAAAAGAGTTGTTCTCGATTGGTGAGGTAAAGTTTGCGTTTTTCCATATAACGATGACCCACTCTAATAAGCACGAGCATGAGTATGAATGACCGCCCACGGTTGCTACCCTGTTATTGCCATATCAGCTGTAATTGCACAGAGAACCAATAGACGATGCAATCATCCTCAATGTGTAATAACCAGGCATCCGAATTATACCTATCGATTATCATTTTCACACCTATCTTTATCACCTATCACTATCCCTATCACAACTGCTTCTATCAATGATACTATCAGTGATAGAAAAAAAATGATAGATAGATGATAGAGGGTCATAGATAGGAGTGAGAGTGATATTATCAGCAGAGAACCTATCAATGATTTAGATGTTTTTATCCATCGCTATCTTTTGAGAGAACGTTCGTGATATTATCATTATCAATTAAACGGCGTATATTATCTCCATCACATTTTTGGAGACCTGTTTCATCTCTATCATTTTATATTATCATGCATACCGAAAAACCTGGCATAGTGGGAAAAATGGTTTGTATCATGGTTTGTATCAGAAAAGAATCGGCCAAACTTGTTCAACAAACTATACAAAACATACGGATATTTTTAGAATGGTGGTGACATCTAGAGATCGGAAATCGATGCCCGACGCCATTTTGAAATCAAAAATGGCGGCTGCCAATTTCAGAAAAAGTGGGAAATACTGCCAAATACCCTTCACTATGGGTATTTCCGGAATCGGGATGACGTCTAAAACCATTAAATCGATTTCCAACGCCATTTTTAAATCCAAGATGCCGGCTTCCGGTTTCAGAAAAAGTGGGAAATACTGCCAAATACCCTTCAATATGTATATTTTCGGAATCGGGATGACGTCTAGAGACCAAAAATTGATGATGTTTGTAACACCCTTAGCTATCATTTGGAGGGTGAGCCCCCAGATTTCCAGACATAGTGCAATTTTGGGACACCCAAATGGGTATTTGACAGTATTTCCAACTTTTTCTGAAATCGGCAGACGCCATATTTGATTTCAAGATGGCGCTGAACATAGATTTTTGGTCTATAGACGACATCCCGAGTCCGAAAATACCCATATTGAAAGGTCTTTGGCAGTATTTCAATTTTTTCCATAAATTGGAAGCCGCCATCTTTGATTTAAAGATGGCGCTGGACATCAATTTTCGGTATATAGACGTCATCCGAATTCCGAAAATATACATATTGAAGGGTATTTGGCAGTATTTCCCACTTTTTCTGAAATTTGAAGCCATCATCTTGGATTTCAAGATAGCGCTGGACATCGATTTCCGGTCTCTAGACGTCATCTCGATTCCAAAAATACCCATGTTGAAGGGTATTCAACAATATTTCTCAATTATAATGTAGCCGGAAGCCGCCATCTTGGATTTAAAAATGATGGCGAACATTGTGTCCGGTATTTACACGTCATCTTCGTTCTTAAAATATCCATACTGTAGGGACAGAAATCAATTTACACTTCGTCCCCGGTCCGAAATATAAATATTGATTCAGATTGGAATGTTTTTTATGTTGACCATTTGGAGGTGAATTGTCCGTTGTTCAGTAGAAAATTTATAAGTTCGAACTATCATTGAAACAGATAGAATCCCCATCTCTATCATGTGATAGTTCAACTATCAGATGGACCATTTATCATGATAGCAATCGAAAATGATATTGTTTCTATCTCTCCTATCCAATCATTGATTCTATCTATCATTTTGTCTATCATGATAGTATCAGAGATGGGATAGAGGTTCTATCATGATAGACTGAAAGAGGATCTATCAAATAGAAACCTATCACTGTGATAGGCCTCTATCTGATAGATGATATTATCACCATTTATCAGATAATTTTAATGACTGGTAAAAACTGGTTATCTCAAACCATACAATACCAGCGCCGGCCACGTCCGAACACAGGTCAAGAAAGGAAGGGATAGGAATGTGTCGACGTGACACTCGCTTTGATGGAAGCCGAGAACACCTCTGCGCTTCCACGAGGAATCACTGGGATATTGAGTAATAGGGTTGGGTTTGCAGCAGGGTTCGTTTTGGTAAACGATAAGCTGAATTGATGTCCTAACGCAAATGAGCTTGAGATTGAACCCACGATCTTATGCTCAGTAAGCAAAAACGTTTACCACTAAGCAAACGAAGTCCTTTTTGATCATCGAGTTTTTGCTATTACCATGCAGTCATATTAACAAACAAAGCAATTAACACATTTTGAATGTGGATGGGCCTGAGCTTAGACTCATGATGTTCTGCTCAGTAAGCAAAAACGATCGCTCTAAGGCCACAGAGCCCCTCATATCACATCATACCTTTACTCGAGCTGTTGTAACCATTCAAACCCGACACCGACGACAACAAGTTTCACAAAATACTCGATAAACCAGCGATTTGACCATAAATCTCCATAATATGAAAGCACCTGGGACAGCATTCTCCTGATCAGTTAGCAGGCCACTGCAACCGACGATCTTTCAAATCCGAAATCTAAAAGCTACGAAAAAAAACTTAGGCCTTCATTAAGTTCCACTTTCACGCGACGTTAAATGCTTCGATTTGCTCTTTACGCATTGTTCAGGCTATCGTGCTTCTTACAGTCTTACATCATAACAAGCTGACTGACGTGACGATTGTTAAGGCCTCGATATAGCCCCGTAACGTGGGTAGATCACCTTTTCGTGGTACGTTACGGGATGTAAGATCTGCCACCGATTCCTAGTCCTGACTACTTCAAACTAGGGGAACAGGATTTTTCAGTAATCCAAGGAACACATCTTAGTCCTTGTTACTTTTTATGTCTTGTTGATAGTGACAAGACTCGGCTTTGTCTACCGAGGATGATCTTGAAACAAGGAAAAAAATGAGTTAGTTGTGTTCATCTATGTGATACCTAATCTTCTATTCGTTGTTCCCTAGTTTGAAGTGGTTAAGACTAGGGTTCTGATGCATGGTCATTATCGGTGTCATACCTTAATTTTGTTGCTAAGGAATCCAATTTTGACTGACAAAGAGGCGCGCCTTTGGAGGGTATTTCAACACTCCGAAGGGTATAAATAGCGGGACCTTTCAATTAGAGTCGGCAACTATAAAAAAATCGAATACTTCATCATTTCTCAATAGTTATGGAGTAATACGACATGCACTAAACTAATGACACGGAATATACTACAATAGATCAATTTACTGGTCGCAGTAGTGTTAGGTCCCGAACAGAGGAAACCAAAAAGGCCTCGATAAGTTGGTTATGACGAGAGGAACAACACAATAGTTGGGTAAAGAAGAATTGCATTATAACACACCATCGACTCGAAATGCTTTCGGCAACGTGGGGCTTTAGGTAGTGATGAAACGTCGCTAGAACTATTCCACGGCCGCAGACAGTATTCAAGGAAAGTCCAGCGCACAATTTTTTGCCTGTAGATTTGAAGACGTATTTCAAATCTCCGCGTACATCGTACGGGTTAGGCAGAGAGTGTGCATTTGACTTGCACTGTCTCATTAATGGCCCTTCGCTCATTTTCAACTTCTATTCAATTTTCATACTGCAGTACTCTAACGGAACTATCTACCTACCCTCTTCTAAGACCATTCTCTAGCTAATAAATTATCACGCTAAAACGTCATGTTAGATAGCATTTCCAACCAACTCTGAAAGTCGCAAACTTTGCGTATGAAGTAACATAAAAACACTTTGAATTCATAATTAGCTTCCAAACATGTTCACCTAACTTTCGGAAACTAACTTATGTTAGTCATGGCAAAACAACTTTATAAATCAATGTGCACCTAACATCACAAAGTTTTCCTGATCCGTTCTGGAGATCAGGTACGATACCCTTAGCAACGAGCAGATATGTTCATAAAACCAAATTCAATACCGTAAAGGCTCGACATCCGGACAGTTGGTCTACAGTTCAAACCCAAAACTGACAGCTGAGTGGAAGATCGCTCATTGATTCTGTTGTCTCTATTTTGATTTGTTTCTGGGTGCTGTTCTTGGTTGTGTCAAAATTTCAGGTTAATTTATAATAACAAAACATAGTTGCAACATGCCAAAGTGCTATTTTAATGGCCACCATTACTCTGCATTTGAGATCTAGTTTATGATTTAAAGCGGCATGTATGTGTATGTGATGTATTCGATGAATTTCCATTTATTTGTGTGGATCGTGCTCATAAGAAATGTATGTACGTACAAATTTGCTGCCAAAAGTAATTACGAACTCAACCCTAGAAAGCTATTGACATGACTGTTGCGTTCATGACCCATCAAAATCTGACGTACGATTGGTATCCAGATACTTCAAAGCAACTTAATTTAGTACTACACTGCCAAGCGATTACCAACCATTTTGACGCATTAGCTAGTCATTATCCTCTCATCCGTAATAACAACCTATCCAATTTCAATTGAAGCTTCAAATAGGAAAGCAAGAATAATACTTACGAACATCCATGCGCCGAGCAGATATTCTTCCGAGTGGCCAAAATCGCTACGTCATGATGATGCGGATCGTTCTCGTCTTTCGGGTTCAAGCTTCGCTGCCACCTGTCAACGAAATAGGGAACGAAATTCACCTCTCCGCTGGCAAAAGACTTCAACGCACAATGAAGCAACAAACCTGCAGAAGTTTTCCAACGTGTTAATCGCTATGTGCGTCACGTTGAAGTCCGCGTGCGATTCTTCCTCCTCCAGGATGATGATTCGCACGACCGTAACCTGAATCGAATTGCCTATGGTCGGATCGCGGTACAGCGAGGAGACCATGTTCATGATCGTCAACAGGTACTGCTGCAGGTCCACGTCCTGGTGGAACAGGGCCATCGAGTGATCCGCCACGACCAGTGCTTCCACGTGCCGCGGAGAGCTGATGGACCGCTTGATGCGCTGCTTCCTGCCACCGGAGGTTCCGGAGCCGGCCGATGCTACCACGGGAAGATCGCGACTTTTTCGTCCACCCTGTACGATCACCTATATCGGGATCGGGACGAGACGAGAGAGGCCTTTGGAAATTTCTCGCTTGTTCTTGTTCTACTGACTACGAAGGATTTAGGCAAGTGCCGCGAAGCACCTGGATAGTATTACCTTTCCCTGGTGTTGCCACTCCAGTCGGGTTTCGGTTACCCTTCGGGGTTCCTTGGTGCCGCAGTTGCTCGCGTGACGACGCTTTCGTTTCTTCTTCTTTTTCTTGGCTGTCTGGGTGGGAAAACAAAATGAGTGTTTGGATTTTGATTTTGTTGCTATCGGGAAACTACCTTTGCTCGAGTGTCCTTGGGTTCTTTGACGTCTGCTCGCTTAAATAGCACATGGGGATGGCCGTCTTTGTCCGAAGGGGAATGATTCTTCGATGGCTCTATCCAGTATTCCGTTTTGTTGGTCCGTAGGAAACCGGTCTGGGAAATGAGAATTGGAAGAGAGACTTTTGAAACTTCTTATAGAGTAATAGGTTCAGATATTTATAAAACAAAACTGACAAATCCCTTAGCAAACCGCAGTGGTGGCCACACACATTGCTGGAAACAATCAAGATAATTCAATGATCGCATAAAAGCTGGTTCAGGTCGTTATTCGCCACACTTTGAATGAGTTTTACGATCGTGCGCCGCCGAGTCGAGGGTATCATAATTAAAATGTTGTAGTAATAAAGATCGTCCGGGAAATGTGCAGATCAACAACGGCGCGACCGGTGGCGGTGGACGTGGTGAACCGGTAAGTCAAAAAATGCTGCGCAAAAAATAAATAATAAACTAAGGCGAATATCATCATCGATAAGCGCATTATGCTGACATAAACCTGGCACAGAAACGAAGCGAATCTGCACGCAATCGAGGTCAGGGTTGGCGAGTGTTATTTTTAATGAATGATGACAACGAAAGATCTATTTCATTGGCAAAGTAGAACGTGGCCATGGTGTGTACATTGTGCAGCAACAAAGCAAGACCATACTGAAGGTGGCTGGGTTTGATTCCCGGTCCGGTCTAGGAATTTTTCGGGTTGGAAATTTTTTGTTGACTTCCCTGAGCTTAGAGTATGTTTGTACTTAAAACCACAAAATAACACTAATGCAAAAAAACGGAACAGGCATCGTTAGCTCTCAATTAATAACTGTGAAAGTGCATCTATGTTGAGAAGACGCAATAAGCTTATATGCGATTAGATATAAGCTTGAAATGCGAAGAAGAAGAAGAATGGTTTTTACTTTGAAGTTTCATGCTCATTTATCGGTATGCTTTGTTCTATGACCTAGCTTGGGCTGGGTCGAAGTTGCTCGTACAAATTCGTGATTTTTTTTGGTCAACAATTGTAGTACACTACCCAATTGCTGCAACTGTGTTGCAATTATTTAGGATCATAACGTTTACCGATCGTCTCTTTGATTTGTTTTCCGTCGATCTTGTTTTCCGTGCTGAGCACCAATGCTACCGACGCCAGGGAGGCAGCTCCCACACCTGGACCCTACCTTTCGACCCATCAACTCATGAACCGGGGACCAACGGCTTTACTTCCCTTCCGAAGGAAGGCGTGATCAGAGATGTTATGCCTCAGAACATCCCGGCGGCGCCGACTGGGATTGAACCCAGGCCTGCTGGGGTGAGAAGTAATCACGCTTACCACTACACCACCGGCACCGCGTTTACCGATCGTGGTTATGTTATGTTTAGAATTGAGCGTATGAAGAGTTTTTAATTTTTCTGCTTATATTTAATCCTCACATGCAACAGAAACTATTACTAGCTAAAACTTCAATTAACTTATGAAATTGGGAAAATGATGGTTATCCATTTATTGAACAACCTAACAATCAACAAGCAAAATTGCGCTGCAAATATACATCATGAGAAATGTTCTGTCTGCATCCAGATTAAGTTTGAACCTTTAAATGTTGATTTAAAAAATTCCAAACTCAAAAACGAACGTTTGAAAAAAGATCTACTTGCAAATGAGCCTTAAAATATGTAAGCGCTTCAGATATAGAATTTTATGCGCCCAACAGATGCAAATCGTACAAATAGTCTAGTTTAATTTGGGCCGCCTTATGTGCATATGCGCTCAAATTTCCGATAGCTTCAGAACACTCCAAAAATTTCGGGGAAATTCACTATAGACCACCAAGCTTCAAAAACTTTCCATCAGCTTCGGGAAAACTTCAAACAGCTTTTCAGTAAGCCTTGGTGAAGTTCTTAAAACTTCAGGGAAGTTCCATGAATATCAGGAATATTTTGGGAACTTCATGCCAGTTCCGAGAACTTTAGGTAAATTTCTAGAACTTCAGGACAGTCCCATTAATTTCAGGAAAATAGCGGAAACCTCCAATAATTTACAAACATTTAAGGATAGTCCAAAGAACTCCAAGGAAATTGTGGGAAATTTGAGAAGAGAGTTTCAGGCAATTCCAGTGAAATTCACCAAAGTTTATAGATGTTTAAGAAAATTACGTGAATTTCAGTGTAGTTCCGAAAACTGCAGTGCTGTTCTGCTTGAATATCACTGGAACTCTATGGCCTTTGAGTTACTTTCAATATCTGGCTGTAGCAAATAAGTGTCACGTTTTAAACTACCCTGTCTTCTGGCATCGGTTTGAGTTTTATATTCTCGCTTGAATTAAATACGGTAATTGCCTAATACTTTGTAATGCTGCGAAGGGTTTCATTATTATTGCTTCCCAATTGGGTTCTTAATTTTGAAAGATGTATCGGTTTTTATATATCATCTGAAAGAGCTTCGTTTTCTGAGCACAGCGATATTTTTTTCGAACCCACTTACTTTCATCTCGATTTTTAAATCAAGATTCAAAGCAAAATAAAAACTTCACTGTTTGACACTAAACTGACAAACTGACAGCTCGTTCCCATACAATGTGAAATCGAGGGGCGCTAAAAAGGTGATTTTTGCAAATGCAATCGTTCTTATTTAAAATAGTTTCAGTGTACCAAAATTGATGAAATTTTGGGTTTGGGTTCCATTTTTAATGCAGATTACGAATATGCATTTACCTCAATACCCTTAAAGAACCCAATTTTTATTTGTGATCGAAGGCAGTGAAACAAGCTTGGTGGGGTTGATCAGTGATAAGGGGGTTTGTATTTTAAAGGCTAAGGTCTTGGTTCAACTGTAAATGGCGGAAATAGTCTCAGATATCGATTGCATAAGATTTATTATAAGGCAGTTTTTTACGAATGTAAATTGCTGATATGCTCTGGAAATGCTTATTGCATCGCATTCATCGGTTTCTTGGGGAATTCCTACTTAAAAACATTTTCCAACTCGTGAATTCGCAAAATTACAAAAATTGTGTGCTTAGCTGTGCAACAATTGGCAAATCACCCTAACTGTCAACATTCTTCCAGCTGAACACTGAACACCCATTTAACCCGATTACCTATTTTCTCCATTTTTTTTTGCAAAATTCTTCTACTTCTTATCTCAATTTAAGCGAGGTCATAGCTCTACGAGGACAGTTCCATTAATTTCAGGCAAATACCGGAAACCCTCAATAAGTTCCAACAATTTAAGGATAGTCCAGGGACGTAAGACAAATTTCAGACCAATTACAGGAACATGATCAGGAGAACAGAGGAGAACTTCAGGGTAGTTCCATCTTTAGTGTAGTCCCATTAACTTCTCAAACATTGTAGGAACTTTAAAGAAGTTTGGATGAATGAAATAAAATGGCGGGAATTTTTGGAAAGTTCCTTAAAGACTGTGAGAACATAAGGGAAGTTTTGAAAACTTTTAGAACATTCTGGGAAGTCCAGAGAAACTTCAAGGTGGTCCCATTTAGCTTTAGAAAAGCTGCAGCATTTTTTGAAGATATTTTAAAAACTTCTGGGATTTCCAGATAATTTTAGGGAATTCAAGAGAACTTGAGAAAAATTGTTGAATCTTTTAAGAAGTTCCCAGTAGTTCAGAGAATCCAGGTTAAGAGATCTTACGGGATTTTCAGAGATCTCAAAGGTGATTTCAATGATTGCAGGGAAGTTCCAAAGAATTTATGAAAGTACACATCAGTAAGGATGAATTCAATTTGCCCCATAACGTGGGTAGATCACCTTTTCGTGGTACGTTACGGGATGTAAGATCTACCACCGATTCCTAGTCCTGACTACCTCATACTAGGGGAACAGGATTTTTCAGTAATCTAAGGAACACATCTTAGTCCTTGTTACTTTTTATGCCTTGTTGATAGTGACAAGACTCGGCTTTGTCTACCGAGGATTATCTTGAAACAAGGAAAAAATGAGTTAGTTTTGTTCATCTATGTGATTCCTAATCTTCTATTCGTTGTTCCCTAGTTTGAAGTGGTTAAGACTAGGGTTCTGATGCATGGTCATTATCGGTGTCATTCCTTAATTTTGTTGCTAAGGAATTCAATTTTGAATGACAAAGGGGCGCGCCTTTGGAGGGTGTTTCAACATTCCGAAGGGTATAAATAGCGGGACCTTTCAATTAGAGTTAGATGCAAGTATGACAACTGTAAAAAAAAATCGAATACTTCAGCATTTCTCAATAGTGATGGAGTAATACGACATGCACTAAACTAAGGACACGGGATATACTACAATAGATCAAATAACTGGTCGCATTGGTGTTAGATTAGAGGAACCCGAACAGAGGAAAAAAATGATGAATTTCAATAAATTCAAGACAGATCCATTAACTTATGGAAAATTTCGAGAACCCTAAAGAAGTTCCGGACATTTCAGAAAGCTCCAGACAACTCCAGGAACGTATGAAATCATCAGTAGTTTTTCGGAAACTTCAGAGAAGTACAGAGAATTTCAGCGAAGTTTAAAGGTTTTTATGGCAGTTCCATTCATTTCAGGATCGTACGAAGAACTTCAAGAGCATTGAGAGAACATCAAAGAAGCTTTGAGAATTTTGACGGCGTTCCGAAATTTTTGAAAACATCCGCAAAGTTCTGAGGGCTTCAGGGAAAATGAAGGAAACGTTTGGGAAGTTACATGAACAGCAGTATAATGTGAGAATATTTTAAGAAAAGTTCCATGATTTCCATGGCAGTTTCGAGAACTTAAAAAAATAGGATCTTCAGAGAAGATCCGAGAACTTCATGGAAGTTCTATAATTTTCCTGAAAATGCCGAGAACTTTTAAGATGTTCCTAAGCCTTCAAAAACTCTATAGAATATTGGAGATTTTAAAGCACCCAAGCAACGTGCCGAAAACTTCAGGAACATTGAACATCAGGAAAATTGCCGAAAAATATAGGCAACTTCACAGAAGTGAATTACAGCGAAGTACAGGTAAAATAGGATAATTTAGGGGAAGTTCCGAGAGTTTCAATAAACGTTTTCAAAACTTTAGGAAAATTAGAGAAAATTTCGAGAAATTCAGTCCAGAGAACTAAGCAATTTTTGGTGATTTTATTTTGCAGT